AAGTGCTTGGCACATTTATTTTTAAGATATTTATTTTTAAACATCTTGTTCAAAGTGAATTTCAGTCTTTAAAACATTATAATTAGGGCCGTATAAGAAACCAGCCCAAGTACACACTTGGATGAGCATTTTCCTTGATCTGCATTGCTTGGAATCAACAGGGGCACATGTTGCATTCTAGAAGCTTCACATTCCTGGATGACTGAAGATGCACCCAGTGAACTACACAGTTTGAAGAGTGTGTGTATTTGAACAAAAATAAGCCTCAAGACTGTGAAGCAAGAATTAACCTGGAAGGACTTCAACTCTACATGAATATACATATAATGTATTTGAAAATAAAGTCATACTTCCCTCTTTCTTTCAGCCCTTTCCTGCAAAGTTCATTGTTATAATTTTATCCTGAAACTCTGTTTTGTATCATTTTGTTAATATTCTTTTTAAAATAGTTTAATTTTCAAAAGAAAACAAAGGGGTTGCATGGAAAAAATGTGTTTGTTAAAATGTACATGAAAAAAAATCCACTGTAAGCATTCCTTCTTCAAGGTACAAGCAGTACTGTTTGAGGGGAAAAATGCACTTAAATATGCCCATATTTTCATTTTAATCCTTTCTAAAAAATGGACGTGGTGGCGCTGTGGGCTAAACTGCAGAAGCCTGTGCTGCAGGGTCAGAAGACCAAGCAGTCGTAAGATCAAATCCACGCGATGGAGTGAGCGCCCGCCGCTTGTCCCAGCTCCCGCCAACCTAGCGGTTTGAAAGCATGTAAATGGGGGTAGATAAATAGGTACCACCTTGATGGGAAGGTAACAGCATTCCGTGTCTAAGTCGCACTGGCCATGTGACCACGGAAGATTGTCTTCGGACAAAACGCTGGCTCTATGGCTTGGAAACGGGGATGAGCACTGCCCCCTAGAGTCGAACACGACTGGACAAAAATTGTCAAGGGGAACCTTAACCTTAACCTTAAAAAAATGGATCTTCTCAGACAGACCTGATAGGAAAATGAGGACAACCACAGATGCAGACTTGATGGATGTACTCATCCCTAATAAAGACAAGATTAAAGAGGAATTTAAAATGTAATTCAAAGAATAACATCTATGAAAAATCAGAATAAAAATAACAAAATGACCACCTTGGAGAAGAGTAACACTTTCTCCACGTCAAATTCCCTCCCTGATCAGAAGCCAAGGCTTCATCTATCATATACTGAGAGAAATTCTTTGGACACCTGCAGCAAAAGGCAACCACTTCTCACTAAACAGCTCTTGGAGGTTCCTTCCTAATTACTCTTTGTGTGTCTGGAGCTTCCTCCAAATGTGATGATACCTGCCTTTCATTTGTGGTGGTACCATTCTGGCTACACGGGCAATGGCATTCACAGCCTAAATCAGGGATGGGCAAAGTGCAGCTCCTTCATTTAAGTTTGTGGGTCTGAGGTTTCCTCCATTCTTGCAAAACAAGGTGGATTGAAGGTCCTGGAAACTTTTAAGAATGATTCAGCTTATAAATAGGCCATCAAGTATGGCTGAACATCCCAAAATATGAATAGAACCTCTAGCTGCTTTAAGATTTATTTTTGTGTGTGGAAGGGTGGCCTTTTCCACAATCTGTGTGAGCCCAGAGTGTCCCCACCAGCACAAGACAGATAACTGGCCAGCTGGATCCACCCATTTTGCCCATCCCATTCTAAGCACTGGGAAATCTTTAAAGAGAGGATGTGAAGCAAATCTTCCAACTAATCTTAAATGTTCCAAAAAGGCTTCTGATGGTTAACTCCTGGATGACTGCCTGTTTTCTGCTTTACACTGTAGTGTGACATGTTACAAAGCTCTGTTTGGCCATTTTCTGGCTGCTTCCCTGTATACATCCTAGGAAGACGATGGTTCCAATCCAAAGTAAAGTCAGCTGTATTGTAGATGTTTCATACAGACTATATTAGTACTTTTCCATGTAGTACATCCCAAGGCATTCCACTTTACAGTAAGAAATCCATTAAAACTGAATCAGTATTTTTTCAAACATATGAAACAATGCAGCATCTGATAACCAATAACCATAAATCTAACAAATAAATAAGGCATTTGTGTTTTGAAGATGTTTTGCTCTCACAGCCTTTAACCTCTCTCTGGAAGTGGTGCTAACTGCTATGTTTCCTTCCTTAGGACCTTCAGCAGAATAATGGGGGGTGGACAGTATTATTATGCTGTGAATTGCATAACAGAGTCTATAATAATTAACTGAAATATCCATTCTCCATTGTCTTCATAATCGTATCACTTTTTCAGTGATCTCATTTTTGTCTATTTAGTCTATCATATTTAAGGAGCAAACATTTTAATGTCCCACTGAATACAGGAGCACTATTCTTCCCTCTCTACTTTGGCTGCTGCATCTAGTTTGCTTATCAAAATCTAGGGAGTACAGAATAAAAGATAAAGACACTAAGTTTATAAAAATGCCAAGAAGTCTAAATAGGTATTTAGTCCTGCTAGGCTAAGTGAGTGCAATCTATGTATCCAAAAAGCCTCTTTATGACATAAAATTCTGTGGATGTCAATATGAGAAAATTGATGTTTAATATGTTTATAAAAAAATACAAAATCTAAGATCCTTGTTAGAATGATTTTTGGGTAAGGAAATGTTGCACTGGAGAAGCCTCCTGAATTTTGTTTCTAATGCGGTAGTGCTCAAGAATATGTACTTTGATGGGTCTAGTGCTCATCCCTACATGTATTTTAGGACATGGGCATATGATATCCCATTATTTATGTTGCAGGTACTAAAATGATTAAGTGGAATGGTATATTATCCTTCTGGATTATAAATTTAAAGAATTACACAATACAATAAAGAGGAAGGACCCTTTAAGGAATTCTGGTAGCCACCAGGGAGTATAAATTACCTTGATTTCTGGGAATGATTTACAGCAGAGAACTAACAAACAGATAAGAGGACACTTGTATGTGGAATGAATCGAAATATACTTTAAGTAAAGAGACTTTCAATATTACCTAATAGTGGGGCAAGCACAACAAAATAAGGTTTATTATTATTATGTTTGATAACTATTTTCGGTTCATGAATGTTCCTGTTTCCAGCATCTTGGAGGTCCAAGGGATATCTTCTGAAGAAGTTAACATGGTTAGTGGTTAATGGACAATCTTTCATGCTTGGAGCTTGTCAACATTACCCCAAGAATCCAAGACCTTGACTACACATTTGAAGGGACTTTTTACTCAACACTTCCAGACCCTAAATTTTCACTTTCTGTGAGTAGATACCTGGACTGCATACATTTGCATTGGAGAACTTTATCATATTATTTACTTGCTTAGCACAAGAGAGAACATTGTTCATAAATATTGTTTGATGGATTGATATCAGTTGGTGATATATTTTTATTGATACAGTACTTTTGTATATAACATACTAACGTTCTAATTTTGGTACGACTACAATACAGAGTTTCCTGTGTTTGTGCATCGAGTTTGCTGTCAGAGTCAGGCACTGAGACAATGTGCTGTTCTTCACAAAGATGGGTATGAAGAAGCCATATGTTCAGATAATTTTCAGAAATGTAAAGAAAAGCAGAGGGTGTAATCTGTACAATCATGCAGTATATTTACTAAGTAGTTGCACAGACTTGCCCAGGAAGCACAGATCAATCTCATCAGACCTGGAGAGTTCAGGAAGATGATGTGTGTGTGGCAGCCCTGGAGTGGCAAAAAATGAACACTAGGAAATGTTTGCCCCTATAATAGGCCATAACATCAGGGTGATTACAGGCTGGATATTTCTATCAGTTCTGTCAGATAGGTAGCGTTAAAGAGGATTTCTCATCGAGGAGCTGAGTAGTTGGGACAGCAAAAATATTTTAAGCTGAGGAGTGAATTGTACCTTAATTTATCAGAATCTGCTACTCACTCCCCCATGTGGCAAGCTATGTTACTGCAGCTTGTCAGGGAAGAACATTTCTAGACTGACTCCACCAAAGCTAACCCTGGCTAGAGAGAGTTCCCTGGGCTAGTAGAACTTTGCTTAAGCAGTGCAAACTCTTTTTGAGTTCGTTTGCATCTTGTGTCTCTGGTCATACTCTTTAACCCTGACACATAATCTGTCCACTGCTCCTGCCTTCTGAATTATCCCCAGATCCCTGTTTCTCTTAGCTCACAATTATTTGTTCCCTAGCTTGCTCATAATTCTAAATCTGGGCAGTGCTGGCTCATAAAAATTATTTATTTTTCTTTCCAAAATTTCAAGTAGCAGATATAGTTCTCACTAAGCATGCCATGTCAGAGCACATATGACCATTAAGCATTTTATTAGTTCATTTTCTGTTAAATAGTTTTGAGCATGGCCTGCAGAGATAATCCCAGATTCTTCATAGGCATCCTTCATTCTCCAGAGACTATGGTAATGTGCTTTGTATGGAGGACTTGGAACAGCGTCTAGTGTTTTGACGCTGTACGCAAAGCTGGAGTGTTCTCTCCAGGGCACGAAGCCTGGGTAAAATAATATGGAGGATAGGCTGTTACCCAAGCAGCAAATCCCCCCTCTCCATGTCACTGAAATAGTCCAATGGAAAGGTAAGAGCCAATATAACTGGTTTCAGCGACGTCGCAGGAGTTGACAGAATGACATGAACTGCTTCCAGGACTCCGGCTCTGGATTTTGCCTCGATGTTAACTCCTGAAGCCTTTTCCATGAGTGGATATAGCCACAAGGCAGTGGAGGTTTGAAATCGGAATTTTCCTTCTCCTAGATGGGCTGCCTTCCAGGCTTTTGACCCAATAGTCCAAAGAATTTTAAAAACGATGGTTCCAAACAAAGACAAGTGCTTTCTGTATACTTGTGTCCTTGTTTTCAATTTGCTACCAGTAAGGAAAAACAAGGCAGGCCTCCCATCTTTGGCCTGCCGGGTAACAATACCTTGACCAAACTTTGTCATCCCACTTTGTGATGTAATTCATCACCTTTATAAATATCTGGTCCAGCAGAGACTTTTTGTCCCTCTTTGAGGTAGAGCCATGTTGTCCTCAAGAGACAAGAATATGGAAAGCAGCAGAGGCTCGCTGTCAGCATAACCAAAAAAGAGAGAGGAAAAGACCCCAGAAGACGTTTCCTCGAGCAAGAGATCCAGGGTGGGGAAGTTCATTCTAACTTGCTGCTTATGTTGCATTTGTGTCTCTCCACCGAAATCACCACCAGGGCTGGCGATTGATGACAAGTCCAAAGAGGGAAAAGAGTCAGAGGCATAACACCATTGCCGGGTAAAGCATTCTAAAAGTTTGGGCACTGAAATAGGTGGCAGGGAAAGCCAGGGAGACCTCTGGAGGCAGAGGCGGTTTTCCCGGGGAGGAGGTTAGACCGGGCCTACCAGAGAAGACCCAAGACCTTTTGTCAGATAAAACAACTGGGGTCAGGAAACCAAGGGTTTTATACTTCATCTATTGCAGCTGCATTTATACCGCACCAAGGGAATCACCAGGAAACAAGAACAACGGAGCCGCCCCACCTCTCCTTCCTCTGGAGCCACCCTGCCTCTCTTTCCTCCTCCTGCGCTGCAGGAGTAAAGAAGTTCCCTGACTGCCCGCAATAATTTTCTCTGGGCTTGAGGTGGGGCTGCGTTTCCCAGAGTACTTTGAGGCAGCTCAAATGATACCAACATCAGGTAAAGTATTCTAACAGTTTGGGGACTGAAATAGGTGGCAGGGAAGGCCAGGGAGTCCTCTGGAGGTGGAGGCGGCTTTCCCTGGGGGGTTAGACAGGGCCTACCAGGAGCTCCGTTGGCAAATAGATTCAAAATTTTGCGGCCAGAGCTGTTCGTTTCTTGGATTGACTCATCATGGAAAACAGCTTGGCAACAACTTCTGGAAAAAACCCAAGACCTTTCCTCCCACAAAACAAGTAGGGTGAGGAAGACACTCTATTTTACTGCCTTTGTTGCAGCTGCCTTTATACTCCCCCGCAAGGAAATCACCCGTTGCCAGAAGTCACAGCTCCTGTGAACAAGATACAGAGGCATGATACCAACATCAGGTGAGGTATTCTAATGGGGGGGGGGTAGACTGGGCCTACCAGAGAAGATCCAAGACCTTTCGTCGGATAAAACAACAGCGGTCAGGAAACCAAGTGTTTTATACTTCATCTGTTGCAGCTGCATTTATACCCCGCCAAGGGAATTACCAGCAGACAAGAACAACGGTGCATTGGTGCAAAAACCATTGAACTAATTCATATATGATTTCTTCGGGATGTGTCTTATCCATATGTTCAATAGCAATATTTCTTTTTCTTCTGCACTAGAATGAACATGACAGACCATGACCACCAACGTATGGCTCAATCAGGCAACCATCCCATGGGTGTTCAGTTTAAACCTCCCAAACTGGAGCAGAAACAACAAAGCAGCTACTTCATTTTTACAGCATCTGATCCTGATCTCCCAGTGAACATTTACATGCCCCTCTTCATGTGCAGGATGCATTCCAAGAAAATGGAGCACTCAGCAGTAAATGTAATCCCGGCTATACACTGAATACTAAGGTGAGTTGTAGATTTTCAGTTAAGTAAAAAAAGAACAAAACAGACAAGAAAATAGCAAAACTGGGACTTTCAGATAATAGGGAACACTAAGGACAGTGATTTAGATTCTTAAACAAAAACTATAATTCCTCTAAGTAATCTGTAATTTGGCCATGAAATTAGAAATTAAAAGCAGACACTGTTATGTCTTAGTCAGTCAGAGGGAACCAAGATATCTTAAAAAGCACAAGAAATTCTTATGGCTTTTGATGAATTGTTTTTAAGTCTGGTAGTTCAATTGCAGGCATCCAGAACCCTATTTTAATATTTATCTTATTTGGCACGTGCACAGTCTTCAGGCAGTCGTGTAAATATAGATCACATCAGGGCTATTTGTGGAGACCTGTGGTGATTATGGGGTGAAGTAAGTAGACTCTGCTCACCCACAGGGAAAAGCAGATAGCTGCACAGATCCCTCATAAACAACCTGGCATTCCTGGGGTTAAAAATGTTAAATTAAAAACAAGCAGACAAAAAAAACTATGAAAAGGAAACAGAAATGAATATACAGTTTCATGAAGACTGTGTTGTCATCAAAGGATGAAATCGACAGCTGAACACCCAGCAAATCCCAAGACCTCTCCTCAATGCTTCAAACACTGAAATGCTGCCGAGTGTTGGGCTGCAGCAGTTGCTCTCTGCATATTTAACTGCAATGTGAAGTGAGGAACTTCCATCAGTGTAGCATATTGCCTGTACTTTTCCTTCTTTTCTAAAAACTAGTTACACTGCTAGAACTGTGTGTGTGTTTGACATATAGAAACAAGATGGATGCCTGCCTTCTTGTGGTTAGGTCAGAATGTCATTTCAAGATGTTAAGGTCTCCCATATCTGGCCCTGCTTTCTTTTCTTCTTTTTCCCCCCTTTCACCTCTTTTTTCTTTCCATGTGTGTATGCATGAATGAATGTATATGTGTGTGGTGGTGCTCATAGTGGCTATCTTCTGCTTCTCTTTTTCTTGTATTCCCTGGGCTAGAGGTGAGTAGATAATTATTCCAGAAATAATTCTGATGCTTCTGTGGTCGTCATAGCCTTTTGTGTTTCCCCATTCTTGGAAATGTTTGTTTCTGTGTTGTCATGGTAAGGGTCACAATTGGGTATCTCTAAATACCCTAGGGGATACACTCTATTCATTACAGTGCCATGTAATGAATAGAGTGACAGACTAGGACTCAGGGGTTCTGGGTTTGAATCCTCACTCAACCATGGAAAATCACTGGGGTATATGGAACCGGTACAGTTACTTCTTAAATATTTCACTCGAAAGCCCTATTAGAGTTGTTATAAAACTGACTTGACAGCACATAACAACAACAATGTCCCAAAATGGATCAGGCCCCAACCTGTATGCATGGACCACCTCTGGAACTAGTGCACATATCTACATCTTGTTATAACATCCAAAATCATCCAGTAAAACAGCATATTGTGCCTCCCAAGTTTTCATTCAGAAGTACAGTATTTCAGAGAAGTATTCATCTCTTCCTGTGATGGCATCTGAGTATCCATCAAGGGGTAATTTGAGTTCGGTCCTTCAGTTTACCTCAAGTGGGCGGTCAGGGCCTGAACTTGGAAATCTTACTTGCTTTACAACCTTTCAGGTCCACCAAATGGTATGGCCACTGGCCATGCTGACAGGGAGGTTCCTGGATTTGTAGTCTAATACAGTGGTCCCCAACCTTGGGCCTCCAGATGTTCTTGGACTACAACTCCCAGAAGCCTTCACCACCACCTCTGCTGGCCAGGATTTCTCAGAGTTGAAATCCAAGAACATCTGGAGGCCCAAGGTTGGGAACCACTGGTCTAATATACAACATTTTCAAGCTCTGGATAGGTGTTACTTCTTTCAGAGTATTTACTTTTGGTTTCTAATTGATTGCGGTGATGAATTTTGATCAGCTGATACTTTTTGTTTGTTTTGTATGGTGTTTCCATATTATAATGGCCTTCCTAAGTATTATCTCTTTTGTCTTATTAGGTATAATGTTCTGAGCATTTTTAATACAAAAGCGAGGCTGTATCACTGCATTAAATTGAATGGACCATCTAGTTCCTCTTCACTAAAAGAGAGGTAATACTTTCAGATATCAGCAAGGCCATCACTGACATTAACCTCTTTGCCATTAGAATGAATTTCTGCTGACACATTCCCGCTGCAAAGCTGCAAACCAATGACCATGAGATCTCAGTCACCAAAACTAGCACTGTCAGTTAAGCTGCCAGTCATACTTACAAGCCTGACAGAGTTGATGACAGGAACAAATGCAAGGAGAGAAAAAGAAGTGAACTCTTTTGAGGGAACCTATTTCTGCACTAAGAGTGCTGTTTTGTTTTTTCACTGTAGGTAAATAGATTTTCATTCTCTCTATGCAGCATTAAATACCAGCCCTGTAGAACACTGAACAGAGATGGTGGATTTGCCTGTTGTTATATGTGGAGACTGCAGGCATTGCTCCAAGGTCATTAGTCTGTCTGTAATAGCCACCATCTTTAAGAAACCATAATTAATTTAGTTATATGAATACAGCTGGCATATTCATTACCAACTTCAGTGTGTGGTATTTTCCATAAAGACGAAGGGAGAAATGATACGTGGAATCTTCTCAGAGCCCATTCAGGTGAGTTTAGGGATAAGATCACTATAGACCTGCTGTACATACAAGTTTCATATTCTTACTCTATGTGGCATTGGACAAAGCTGTTTTCTCACTGTATTCCTGGTTATGTGCTGTAGCATATGACTTCCAGCAAAAGAACTATGGTACCACCAGAAACCCAATTTTCGGTACGTCTGGCTCATATCATTCCCCATACTGCCCATTTTAGTGTGATGTAGTGAAGAAAGTGTCAGAGGAAGACACTGGGGTCTGGCAACAGAACATCTCATATACAGTATTTTTCCATGTATAAGACTATACTTTTGTCTAAAATCTTTAGAATAAAAATTGAGGGTCATCTTATACACGGAAGTAAGCTGAGGAGAGAACAAAAATAAGTGGAAGGGAAAGCAGGGATCAAAGTGATCCTGCAGGGCTTTGATCCCTTTCCCCTTACACTTGCTAAGTCCCACTTAGATTTCTTACTTTTGGGTTAGAAAAGTGGGGGGGGGGTCTTATACATGGGGCATCTTATACCCAGAAAATTACAGTACCTCAGAAATACTACTAGGATAACCAGAAGTTGGAAGGGATTTAATGGTACATAACAACAACTGGTCTCCACAGCACAGTGGGATGTGGGTGGCCACAGACCACAGAGGTGTCTTGTTCAGCCTTAGGGAGGCTTGTGCAAGCAAATTTCAAGGTAGTTTGTGTCTCATGGATACTAAAGGAATAAGTTCAACTAGGGGAGCATATCCTAATGAATCAAAACCTAAAGGACATAATATTTCAGTTTACCTAGCTTTACATCAAGACAAGTGCCATTCTACATTCATCCAATACTGATAAGATGAAGTGCAGCTAATACAAAGTGGTTCAATTGTGGTTTTTTACTATATTAGCTCATGTAATAGCATTTTCCAAATCAATATGCTCATCAAAATGAAATTATTTGTTGATAGTTACCTTGCCCTTAACTGTGGAGTTTTCAAATAAAATATGTATAGCAAGGTTTAAGCAATGCACAAAATAGAGAAAGCATACCCTAAAATGGAGATATTAATGTACAGAAAAAATGCATTATATTACGCGAGTCTGCTTACAAAAATGTATTATGAACAAATGCATACAAAGATGTATATATTGGGGAAAAAAGTCACCAAAATGTCTGCAATTTTTGTGTGAGTATTCATAACATATGAAAATTGATGCAGAAACAGCACAAAACAAATGTAAGAGTGGAAAAATGAGAAAAGGAGAGAAAGTGAAATTGACAGATGTTTTCATGCCGAGATGTGACAGTGGTCATATCTAAAGGTTTGATGAGATTGGACAGCCGATTAAGTGTTCCATTCTCTGATATCCATTTCCAGACTTCAAGACAGATTGAGTCATGAGAGTATAGAAATCCCAGAAAAGACTCCATCTCAGCTGAAGGGAAATAAATCCAAGAAGATCTTCTCAGCCAGGATTTGGAACACTGCAAACTTGAAATGCAAACTAAGTGTTTTGCTTCCCTATTTGGACCATGAGATAATTTGTTCCCCTTTATGCACTTTTATTCATGGCCATGAACATTTTATTATGAGTATTTTTCAGACTGAAAGCCATTTTGCAGATCAAACTCTACTAATTATACAAATACAATAAAGTCAGTTATTTTGTAGAGTTCTGCTGGTGGAAGTAAACAGTTTTTAATTGAGGTACGAAGCATTAATGCAGGACTTTCAAGCTGAACAGTCAGTTAATGAGAGACAATGACTTTGATATACTCATTGAAACTATGGTAGAGATTCTGCGTGTGCTTCAAAAGTTACAGGCCCTAATCATCCATTATTTGTATGTCTCAGGAAAGGCTGATTTTAATCCAAGTTCTTGGAGCTCTGTGTCCTTAGTGCATTTGCAAATGCTCCGAAACCAAGGTATTATTCATATAGATTAAACTGCAGTCAAGTCCTAACACCTGAACTCTTTCCCTATTGAGTTAGATTGCATGGCATTTTCTACTTTTTATCTAGAAGCCTTAATAATGCATTAGATGACCAAAGTTTCAAAAGAATGTGCGTGCGCTTTCCTCTATGGCTTCATCTGTGGTTCCTGATGAGCAATGCATCATCCAAACACATTACAGAAATTAGACCTTGTATTCCATTATGCATTCAGACATTTATAGCAGTATGATAAACCTGTCTGAACCTCTGGGAGTTGGCTTTATAAATCAATGCTTCCTGTAAAAAGATTACATTCCCATTTGACATCATTGGAGTCCTACATCTTCCTTCTCTGTGGCCTTTGGAAAAGTTTCATCTGCAACAGAAAGTTCAAATGTTTTAATGAGGAAGGGTGGAGCTGCTAGTGAGTGTAAGAGAAAAGGGAAAGAGAGGAGCACAAGGTGGAGGGTCTTCTGTTGTGCCAATTGTTTGGGTCTGTCTGAACAAGAGAGAGAAATGTAGGTCAGGAATACTGAGGAGAATCTATAGGGCACCTTGCAGCTGGATGTATAGAGGAAACGGGCATTAGAAAAGGGATTTTTAAAAAGGAAATACAAACCTGTTGATCCTCATTTCTTTCTCTTTTTAATGTTTCCTACCTTAAGTCCATTTGTCCAACTTCCATATAATTTTTTTTAACAAAAGTCCACATGGAAATTAATACATATTCTTCTGTGCAGTTCTTCAAATACATGCACGTATTTTCTTTTCACTAGCACAGGCTTTGCGTGTACTGCATCCTTACATTTGGGAAAGTGGAAATATCAAAATAGGTCTACACGCTAGACCACATGTTGGTTAAAAAAGTGAAAATCTGGAATTTTTTTTAAAAAAGCATTAATAAAAGCATAAAAATAAAAGAACTCACCCAGGCACAGGTGTAAACATCTATAGAGAGCATTGAGTGAAATGCGTAATACAAATCTGCTTGAAAATTGATCCACACAGAGCAGTGCAAAATGGGAAGAACTCAGAAGGTGTAACATCCATGATATTATCAACCCCTTTTATAGCGTGCGTCCTTTTATCTAATTTCACATTACAAAATAATCCCCACGGCCCCTTGTGTTCAAAGGAACAAAATTGGATACTGTGTCAGAAGTGCCACATTAATAAGTGTTGGTATAGCACCAAAGCCCAAAGCCCTGGCTGAGGAAAAGGAATTAATTCCCTCAGGAACTAACAGAGTTGTTTGTGCAAGCAAGGGTTCATTCTGTCAATCTTATCTCTCCCAATTCATTACAGCTCTTAATTGTTAATTGTCGGTAGACACTGAGAATTAAAGAATCCTCTTGGAAGACAGAAATATCATAATACTTTTGTAAAATAGAATTAAGAATAAGGGGTGCAGCTGGGACAGTGTCCAAAGCAAGCCCCATCACTTCCTCAGCTACTGCATTTACCACGGGCTCCTATTCTGCCATATTGCCCACAAGCGGTAATGGAGTAGAGCTAGTTCTCACACAGCAGAAACCCTGGGACTTTCTGAGCAGTGGGGAATATAAAATCACTTGCCACTCCCCTGACAATTCCTTGTTTCTTCTAAGCATAGCTGCAATTCTCAAAGTAGCTGGGAGAGACATGGATTTTCCCAAGGACCGTATATTGTTGCAAGAGACTGCTGCTGTAGTGCAACGCACTGGTGGTGGTTTGTTCTTAAATGAAGCATTAAGAGCTGTTAATCTGAAGAAAGATTGCTTTCCTCATTTGTTGATAGAGAATGATCCCCCAGCCTCCAGTTTTAGAAGGAGATGTCTATGGACAGTGTCATGATGAGCACCTGCACCTCCAAATTTACCCCTGCTCATCACAGCCATCCACATATGTAGGCCCTGACATCTCATTTGCTGCCTCATAGACCCATTGGGAAGTCAGGCTGCTCATGGTAAACAACAAGAAGTAACACTGCAGTTGCAGGGCAGCTTTTCTGTGGCATCCTTTACAGGCCATGCCATTCCTAAAATATATTGTTCTGAGTTAGGTTATCTGGATGAGAATAAATGAGTTTATACCTATAGTTTTCCTGACCAGTAAGCATCCCTTCTTAATCCAGTGCTTGGAAATACTAATTTTGGGGGCTATACCTTCCAGAGCACCCTAGTCAGCATTGCTACTGGCCCTAGGTCCAGAAAATCATGTTTCCAAGCTCTCTTAACCTGGCTGTCCATTCAGGAAAACATCTCCAAGTATTCACATCTCCTTTTAGCATCTTCCAGGCAGACATTTCCCCTCAGTCCCATCATCCTCACAATTATGTCTGGGGAGGAGACATGAAAGGGTCTTTTTGTAGCTGCTCCTAAGCTGTGGAAGTCTCTCCCAATGAAACTGGGCTACCTCGCCTCCCCTGCATATGTGGGCCTTCTTTCAGCTAGCAACGAACCTTCTGTTCAGGCAAACTTACTGGCTGCCAAGGAAGATTTGTAATGGGGGAAGTTGTACTTTATCGCCTTCTTTTAATGTGTGTTTGAATAGCTTTAAATGGGTCTTCTTCAGTATTTATTTTTTCAAAATATAGTAATAGGTTTAATTGCTTCTTTAACATCATAATTTATTGTATTCTTATCTGCATTTGAATATTTTCTCAGCCACCTTGAGTCCCTTTATTGGGAGAAAAATAGGATATAAAAGATCAGGGAATTTGTTCCCAGTCAGTAGTCATCAAACTATTTGCAAAGTGATTTTCTTTGTAGGTTTGGTCTGAGACAGTTCCCTACAGTAACAGGGAGAGAAGGCAGGTCATTTGGGAGTTTTGAATGAGGAGGCAAAAAAAATAGAGCTTGTAGTGGATGTGGCTAAAACTGAAGCATATTTGGAAATTAGCTGCTCCCTAGGTCTCTGATGCAAGAGCAGTCAGTTTTACTGACTGCTTTAAAAATCTTTTTTATATCTGCTCTGTACTCTTTGTGTATGTCTCTATGCATCTCCTGCTCATATATAGTTCATAACAAATGGTTCAAACACCCAAGAAGAGTTGAGATTTCACTACAGTTGTTTTGGTTCCTGTTTTAAAAGGGTTAACCATTCACTTGTGTTGGAATACGGCAAGATCTACATTCCAGCCATTATGGGGTTAATCTTAACTGGAGTGGACCTCACCTGGAAGTGTGAGTTACTTTAGAGCCAATGAGTTCTGTCTCTCTTCCTGGTAAGGCTCTACAAAAGGGATTAATTGGTTTTGCCTGACAGCAGAGACCCACTGATGATGGTCAACAGAGTGAGGCAAAAAACAGTGTGGGCATTGCCTGAGCTGTCATCACCTTACTTGCTTTTACTATTTGGTATATTTTGTTATATAATGTTAGTAGTTTGCTATTTGATTATGAATGTCCTGTTTACCCTTTCCTAAGGGAGATAAAGTTTGTCACCTTCCTATTTTTCTTTTGTCTCTGTGCCTTCAATTATTCCTACAAGCTGCCCATGCTTAGGTAGGGCAGCTGACATTAGTGACATAGCCAAATTGGAAGTGTTCGTGGTTTGGACTCAGATAGGTGGGGGCTAGGACAACATCAGAGTCAACTCGGAAGGTCAGTGGCAGTCCTAGTTCTGCTACCCCCAGCACTCTCTAGTCTGAGGCAGTTGTCTGGAATGGTTAAGGGTTGGCCCTGCCTTGATTACTACCATTAAAATAATAAACACACTGGCACCTTCTTCATTTCTTTTACATTTCACAATGCTTGTATATAAATGTCTGCCTGCTTAGGCTTACCTCCATGCATCTGATAAAACAGGACTCAGTTTAAGGAATCTTATGCCAAATAAAACTTATTAATCATTAAGCTGCCTTAAGATCCTTTGAGTCTGTAATTTCTGTGATCACAGTTAAAGAAGGTGGCAGTTTTTAGATTCCCATCATCTCTTTTCATAGTTATCCCTTTCACAGGAAACTGCTTGTAGTTACATCCATGATTGACCCAGTTCACACAATATATTTTCCATGTAAATGCTTACCTTGGGAAGGGTAGCTCTGTGTGAGTGCAAAAAAGGGGGATGGCATGCCGAAATAGGGCCTTCTTGGCTGTTGCTCCCCAGCTTTGGAACACCCTCCAACACTTTTGGCTTTTCGGCACCAGGCAAAGACCTTTCTGTTTAGCCAGCATTTTAATTAAATAGTGTCCTTTAGCTAGCCATATAAGCAGCAGGATTTATTAATATTAATGTTTTAATGACTTTTTAAATATAGGACATGATTATATTGTTGCCTATTTTTAATGGTTTTAATGTTTTTAAAGTTTTGATATTGTTGTACGCCGCTCAGAGACCATTGGTAATGGCGCGGCTAAAAATTTTTGTAAATAAATAAAATAAATAAAACAAAATGTTTGTGCAATCAGATATTTAGTATATAGCCAGCAAAGATACAGATAAATGTCTTTAGGAAAGAGTACAAACTTCAAGACTGTGTTTTAAGTTATATACTCCTAGTTCTGGAATCATGAACATGTGTCAATTGGCAATGATGGTGGGAAGATGAACCATATTAATCTGCTTGCCTGAAGAACTTAAGCCTTGATAGTTTCTGAATTATGATGATCCGTGCAAGATGCATAAATATGTAGTGTCTTTTCAAAATCATGTTTGCTTTCTGCCCTCCTATTCAGTAACTGTTGACAACAGGGTTGGTTGGTTGCATGCATCCAGGATCTATTACTGGACTGCCATCAAGCCACAACTGAAACGCTAACATTCAAAATGTCTTTCCATAAACTCATGCAATCAAGAAGCAAGACATCAAGTTACAAGACATGAATATGAAATGCAAAAAAGAGCATATTGATGTACTATAGTGTGGAGAGGGAATCATAGAAGAACGATGTAAAGTGACATTTTAGAAAAGTAGGCATCTGTTTCATATGGGCCAATGTGGGTTGGATGAAAAGCAATAATAAATCAGTTACTTGGTTCAGCAGTATCATTAAAGTCTTCTGAAACATGAATGAAAATGGAGTAGAAAAATGAATGGGGGGAAAAACCCTAAAAATATGTGTGTGCTAGAGCAGTGGTTCTTAACCTTTGTTACTCAGATGCTTTTGAACTGCAACTCCCAGAAACCCCAGTCAGGACAGCTGGTGGTGAAGGCTTCTGGGAGTTGCAGTCCAAAACTCCTGAGTAACCCAAGGTTAAGAACCAGTGCTCTGAGAACTGAGAGTACATTGCATAGAACACACAAGTCGTAACGAAGACTGAGATTTTTGGCATTATAAACCTTCATAAGGGACACAATAGAATTTCAGCTGATAGGCCAGTGCATGCACAAAGAAAGCTGGCCCAGCTCCCAGTAGGGAATCCAGGCCATGGTTTCTGAAGATGGCGGCAGAGGAGGAGGAAGAAGAGGAGGAGGCAGCAGGACCAGGGAGGGAGATGACAGGGGCAGCAGGAAGGGGGAGGGGCAGCAGGGAGGGGGTGGGAGGCATCTGGTTAGCGAAATGAAATCAAGCACTGATGAGAAAAAAACTTCAGCACTTTGTTTCATTTTGGCAAAATGGCTTCCACAAACCAAACCATAAACCAGCCCAGTTCATGGGATTGTTTTTTTTTTTTCAGTTTGTAGTTCAGTTTGTGCCCATCTCTGCTTGTGACTATTGAGAATTTACTCCTGATCAAGAAGATCCAACCCATTTGTCTAGAAAAGGAGTCGACTAGACAAAGCAAAGTGCAGATTCTACATTTGTTTTAGTGATTCCGCAGCAGTGAATGTTTTATTGACTGTGTGGTGACGAGACAACAGCACTCCATACAAGCTGAAAAACACTTTTTTTCTCTCTGTAACATTAATTCTCCATAAAATATCCTAGAATTAAGGAGATGGAAGAAGAATGATGTACATTTGGGCCTGGGCAGCTCATATTCCCCTGGTCTTTTCTGGGGATGGAGTAGAAACCATCTCCTTGCTTCTCTGCAGTCCAGAGAGTTAGCTCAAGTCAATCGATAGCTGCTTCCACAAATCAATATAAGCCCTAGAAGAAGGGGAAAGGTGCTTGCAAGATGGAAAAAAATATGTCCTCTTTACAGTGTGTGTGTTTGCATGGGTGCATGTATATGCCTGCAGGAGAGAGGTTTTCTTTTTAGGAGGGAATTGAGCTTTCTTCCTTTACAGTTCTGGATGGAATGCTGGACTGGAAGGTATGTGCTATAGCAGGGGTTTTAAACTCAATTAACCTGGGGGCCGCTAGAGGCAGAGTCTGGGCGAGGCTGGGCCGCATCAGATTTTCTGCCAAGCGGAGCAAGAGCCCGAGGAAGCCGCCCAGGAGTTTCCTTAGCCAACAGACAGGTGGGCTGGCTGGCAGGTTGCAGTTCTGGATGGAGGGTGCAAGAGGTGCTGTCTTGGGAGAGAGTCAGCGAGCAAGGCGAGGCTTTTTTTTTACTCTTGACAGCAGAGGATGCATGGGTGCTTTGGGGGTGCAGGCAAGGCGAGGGCCACAAACTATCATCTGGGGGGCCGCAAATGGCCCTCGGGCCGCATGTTTGAGACCCCTGTGCTATAGAAACACTGAATGAACTGTTGCAGGACTCTGTCTGTATACAAGAGAATGATACTCTGTTCATGTGCAGAAACATGTTCTTTTCTCCATGCAGTTTTTGGTAGATGTGCCTGTCAGAGGAGAGAGATCATGGTTTGAATCAGTGGATAGGATAGGAGGAAAAAGAAGTCCCCAGAATTGTAAAGGAGAGAAGAAGAATGAGTGATTATTGAGGAATTAGTGGATGGGTGGAATATATTAATGCCACAACTTATCAAAATTAAATTAAGTAAATGCATAGTATAGATACAGTATCCCACATTAAAGGGAGGTGCATGAAGTCCAGAATTTAAAATGACCTAAACTCACCTAATATTTACTTTGCCTTCATTGATTGTTCTTTTTCTTAAAAGAGCAGTCAAGCTCTGGAAGGAGAAGAAAATGTAGATGTGCTTTCTCCATTTTCAGAGCTCTCTCTCTCCCCGCTCCTGGATGACGCCAAATATTTGCATATGTTTTCTACAGTCAGTTCAAAGCCAGTTCTTCAGAACAAAAAGGTCAGGTAGTTTTCTTTATGCAGAAAGATCATGTTAATAAAGCACACATTACCCCTTGCCTTCAGGATTTGTCATGTGCACAGCTTCACTAGTAATCTGGATACAGTCCCTTTATTCTCGTTATAAGTTATCTCTCTTTATCAGATGATTGCTCATGTGCTCTGTAATTTAATATGTGGCTTTCCCCTTGGCTAGTGCAAAATAAAGATATACTTGTCATCAGTGTGTTCTTTTTTCACAAGCAATCAGTTCTGCCTCAGTATGTCACAGTTAGCAATTACTGATACCTTTAGTATTAGCCTAATCAGGCTTTGGTTTGCAGTTGTGTAATCATCTCTTCTGCTTTGTTCATTCAGGAAGACCCAGACTTTTGTATATTTTACTGGGCTGTGTTTGTGCGCAAGAGATAAGGTGTAACAAAAGCCAAGCTCCCCTCCCTGTGTTTTCATTTCCTTCACCATACTGTTTTCTGAAAATTATGTGGCAGAAGATAATTACATTCAAATCAGGTGCATACTTTGTCAATACACATCTCTCCTTTCTACTTGCACTCTACTGAGTGTTGGCTTCAGCATGAGTCCTGAAAACATGTTCTACCCTTTGCATTGAGTAGAACATGTTTTCAGGACTCATGCTGCCCGGGCCCAATTTAAAGTGCTTGGTCTAAGCTCCTGTATTGATTTCCATTGGCAAAACCTATAACCTGGAAAAAGATCTGATTCATACTTTTCATGGGAATGGTGAAAGTTGGGATTCTCCCAGGGCAGTTGCTACCAGAGTCTCATACTTTCCTCCATGTTTTTCTACCAGATCCTTTCAAACCTCAGTGACTCAGTCTAGGACCAGTTTGTATACACATAAAACAGTGGTCTCTTTTCACATATTAAGACCTGGCAAAAGGTATTTCGGAACAGCAGGGTGCAGAGAAGTTACTTTTTAAACTACAACTCCTAGCATCCCCAGCCAGCATGACCTGTATCTATGCTGGCCAGAGGATCCTGAGAATGATAACTAGAAATGTACATTTTCCCATCTCTGAGCTTTTACCAATTAATGGTAAGCACAGGTGTTCCCTTTTGTGTTTTTGTAACCCCCAGACTTTTCTAAACAACACCTCCCATTTGAACCACAACTCCCAGAATTCTCCAAGAATCCCCCAAGTAGAATTTTGGGCATGCAGTCTGTGAAAGAGAGTTGATGGAAGTTGCGAATGCAGTCTGTGAAAGAGAGTTGATGGAAGGGAGTGCGCCATCTCCTCCAGAGAACAAAAGTGTTATGATAAAGAAAGAAGGGGGGAAAGAAGTGAAGGAACAGAGAATCAAAGAGGAGAGGGTTAAAACAGAGGTCTGCCTAATGGAAGAAGGAAAGGGAAAAGAGGAGGAGTTAAAGAACAATGTGTGGGAGGAGGAGATAAAAGGGTTGACAGGAGAGCAGTTTTTTTTTTATTTCTACAGGGGAGAAGAAGAAGGATGATAAGAGCCACGAGCATGTGAGTGAATTATTAAAGGACTCCCCTAACCTCAAAGTGGGAGGATAACTACCTGACCCGCTACCTGGGAGAGAGGAGGTGATGATCACCAAGTCCCTAGAGGACAGGGTCGCTCAAAGAAGGTAGTGCATCCTGACCATACCCACAACAAACCACCACCCAAGGGGGGGGTTGGGCTCACCACCAGTGCTGTGGCACAATCTGCGCGCTCAGGAGTGCCCCAAGGAGAAATCCTACCGACAAGGAGTGATTTGGTCCGGCTCCCCAATATTAAGAAATAGCACCTACTATGGAGATCACATAGCATCTGAAGGACAGTTGTTAGACTTGAATCATGTTTACCCTACTGAAGTTGTCGTTGACACCCCTGAACCAAAGTTTAATAAATCTGTTAACAGTTTGAATGAGCCAGTGCTTTATTTTCCTGTGCCAAATTGGGAACTGTCAGGGATTCTCAAAGAGCCCAATCACACAGTCCAGAAGTGCAAAAGGGAACACCCCTAATGCCAAGTGTTTTTAATAGGGTCTTCAGAACAAGGGGCAAAATCTACAGGATCATCAGAATAGGGCCAAAGAAGAATGCTTCATCAAAACCCAGGCAACATCATGGCAAAGAGAACTGAAGGATTAGATCTCATTGCCAATACTCCTGGAATTGTCCATTCTGGGCATGATTCCTCTTCCCCATTGCTTGCACAAGAGGGAATCTACCATCCCTTTGCAGTAGGGGAGATCCTTTTTGTTTCCAAGGGAGTGATTTCTGACTTGTGTAGCTGCAAGCTCGAGATTTCTGGAACAAACACAGAGTCCTCTGGCCACAGACCCCCTAATGTTCCATATTTGCCAGACAGGATTCTGACTTTTTTGTCAAAAGAGTCAACTAAAATGTAGCTATCAACTGTGGGGAGGGGGATGACCATGGTAGGCTCCAGTCATGAGCAGGTAAGGATCAAAGTCAAAGCATCAAGGCACAAGTGGTGTGGAACATTTCTTCTTGTGCCATCATTGCTGTATGTGAGCAGCTTCAGTCCTATGATACCTGGAGCACCATCCTTTGCCCGCTCTTTATCTCCATGATAATCCTGGCACCTACTATGGAGATCACATAGCATCTGAAGGACAGTTGTTAGACTTGAATCATGTTTACCCTACTGAAGTTGTCGTTGACACCCCTGAACCAAAGTTTAATAAATCTGTTAACAGTTTGAATGAGCCAGTGCTTTATTTTCCTGTGCCAAATTGGGAACTGTCAGGGATTCTCAAAGAGCCCAATCACACAGTCCAGAAGTGCAAAAGGGAACACCCCTAATGCCAAGTGTTTTTAATAGGGTCTTCAGAACAAGGGGC